CATAAGGCATAGGTGTGTAGAGGATGATGGCGATGGTGGTATGTGAAGATGCAAGATCAATAGCAATGGCGGCCACCTTCTCATTGTCACTATTATCATTGGATGATCCACTTGATGAATCAATGTCCGTGAGCCAATCACCGCAATGTAGGCCTTTCCACTCTTCTTCTTCTTGTAGAAGTCCCTCTTCTTGCCATCTCTCTTCTTGTATGGCTTGTTCTTTTCTTCTCATCTTCATCTTCATTACTTGAGTCATCTTTCTTGCCCTTGTTCTTGTTCTTGAACTTGTCTTTCTTGGGCTTTGTGCATTGATGAGCTAGATGGCCAAGTTCGCCACAATTGTAGCAATCCATCTCGGAGATTGGCTTTCTTCTTGAGCTAGTGAAGAACTTCTTCTTGCCGTCAAACTTGATGCCACTCTTGTTTAGCTTCTTTAGCATCTTGGTGGTCTTCTTCACCATGAGAGCAAGACTTTCTTCATTAACTTCATCTTCACTTGAGCTTTCATACTCAAGTCTTGCCTTGCCCTTCTCTTGGCTAGCTTTGAATGCTAAGTCTTTGTCTTTATTCTTGTTTGAGGATGAACCATCTTGTGGCGTGATGTGCATGTACATCTCATGAGCATTGATCTTTCCCAAGATTTGTGTCGGTGTAGCGGTGGAAAGATCACCTTGGTGTAGCACGGTCACAATATGCCCATATTTGTCAATGGGGAGGACACTCAAGATCTTTCTCACAACGTCGGATGGTGACATTTGAGTAAGTCCAAGCCCATTGACTTCCTCTACAAGAACATTTAAACGTGAATACATCTCATTAGCACATTCTTTGGGAAGCATCTCAAATAAATTTAGCTTTTTAATCACAAGATGATAGCGCTCCTCATGCTCACTCTTGGTTCCCTCATGGAGCGCACAAACGTCCGACCATAGTGCATGGGCGTCTTTGTGGTTCCTTATGCGGTTGAACACATCTTTGCAAAGGCCTCTAAAGATGGTGTTGCGAGCCTTTGCATTCCATTTTTCATAGTTCACTTCATCGCCTTGAAGTTGTGCGGGATTCCTAGGTCTTGGGAACCCATGAGAGGCGGCTCTAAGTATTCCAACGTCTAGAGCTTCTAGGTACACCTCCATGCAAATTTTCCAATATGGAAAATCATCCCCCTCGAAGATAGGAGGAGGTCCATCCCCGTGAGACATCTTGCTCTAAGCGATTAAGCTTAAAAGCGTGAGCACGAGGCTCCGATACCAATTGAAAGGATCAAGATGCCCAAGAGGGGGGTGAATTGGGCTAATTCTAAATTTTCTTGCAATAATTAAATCCTATGGTTAGCCCAATTAACCCCTTGTGCCTTGAAGAGTGTTTCTATTGAAGAGTGTTTCTAATAAACTAACGCACAACGGACTAGCAACCTATGTTCCAAACTTACTCTAGCATGGCAATTCTATGAATGTAAAGACAAGTATTGAATTGCTCAAAGTAAATGCTCAAAGTAAATAGAGAGAGAGAGGGGAACGCGGCGATGTTTTGCCGAGGTATCGGAGAGTCACCACTCCCCACTAGTCCTCGTTGGAGCACCCGCGCAAGGGTGTAGCTCCCCCTTGATCCGCGCAAGGATCAAGTGCTCTCTATGGGTTGATTCTTCGACACTCCGTCGCGGCGAATCACCCAAAGCCGCTCACAACTTGAGTTGGGTCACCCACAAGCTTCGCCGGGTGATCACGAAGCTCCCAATCACCACCAAACCGTCTAGGTGATGGCGATCACCAAGAGTAACAAGCACGAACTCTCACTTGACCACGCGAAGCCTAATGAGAAGATGGATGCACACTTGTCTACTCTTGATTCACTAATGAGGCTACTCTCTTGGATTCTCAAATCTCAATCACCTCACTAGGACCTTGCTCTTCTTGGCACTCACAAACGTGTTTCTCAGCTGTTGAAATGAGCAAAAGTGCCTCCACACACGAGTGGAGGTTCTATTTATAAGGTAGCCTGAAAAACGAACCGTTATATGCCTCTGCGGGGTGACCGGACGCTCCGGTCATGTTGTGGACGCTCGGTCAGTTCAACCCGCATACCGGTGAAAATGTATTGACCGGATTTGGCGAGGTCCGGTCACCCACTTGACCGGACGCGCGTCGGTCGCATTAAACCCTTATGGAACCTTCTGTACTTCGACCGGACGATGAATCCTTAGGTCCGGTTAAGATCTCGACCGGGACACGTCCGGTCGAAGATTCCTTCTCTCGGAACCTTCTCGAGTCGACCGGGACGCGCCTCTCGTCCCGATCGCACCGAATGCAATCTCTTGATCAAATGAACTGACCGGACCCTGCGGCCAGCGTCCGGTCGCACCGGAGCCAGCGTTCGGTCAGTATTTGACCCTCCATTCACCTTCAACTCTCGATCATGTGTGAATAAAGTTTGCTCCATTGGATCTTAGGCATATGTAGGAGCTACCTAGAGCTAGTTTAAACAAGTGTGCACCACACCTAACTCACTAGACTCATCTAGGTCAAGCTACCCGTCCATACCCCCCTTAATAGTACGGCCAAAGGAAAAACAAAGTCCTAAACTACTCTAAGTGTCGCTCCAACTCCAATCGACACTTAGAACTAGTCATCCTTAACCTTGTCGTTCATCCTTTGAAAACCGAAACAATTTCCATCGTAGGGGCATGACCACCTCGATTGCCCAATCGATCTCCATTACCATGACCTAACTTAATTGCCTCTGCAAAACACACGTTAGTCATAGTAATCTTGTATTATCATTAATCACCGAAACCCAACTAGGGGCTTAGATGCTTTCACTGGCCAACAGTTACCAGACCGAAAGACCTTGGTGGTTTAGGCGTTCCTGACCTTGATAGATTTGGGAGAGCCCTCCAGTTGTGCTGGCTTTGGCAAGAATGGGTGGACGACTCCAAGCCTGGGAGCGGCTCAGAGCTTCCATGTACTGATGTTGATCGTCTCCTCTTCAACTCCTCAATCATTATAACTTTGGGGGATGGTGCAAAGACTAAGTTTTGGCACCATAATTGGCTTGAAGGACAAGCTCCAAGATACCTAGCACCGAAATTGTTTCGCCTTGTTTCAAGGAGAAACCGAACGGTGCAACAAGAGCTCCGGAACAACAATTGGATGCGCTCGCTAGGAAGGAAAATCACCTCGGCTGTCAACATAGAGGAGTTTGTGTTTCTTTGGATACGAATACACGACGTACACCTACAACAGGGCGTTCAGGACTCCATCATCTGGCAATGGACCCAGGATGGGATTTACTCCACCGCTCGGCTTACAGAATTCAATTCAAAGGCTCGCTCGTCCCCTTCCGTACGGAACTCATTTGGAAAAGCACAGGTGGAGAACAGATGCAAGATCTTCACCTGGATTTTAGTGTAAGATAAAATTCTTACGGCGCAAAACCTATAAAAGAGAGGGTGGCCACACCAACAACACTGCGTGCTGTGTAACGGTCCCTTAGAAACCGGCCATCACCTATGCCTATGTTGCCCTTTTGCTAAGGCGGTTTGGGATCAAATCATCTTTTGGGAAAACTTCACTCACCTGCAACAGCAACTCCAGGCAGACCCCATCCATATCATGGCATGGTGGGAAGAGGCGGCAAGGAAAGTGCAAAAATCTGAACGTAGACGACTTAACGGGGTAGTAATCTACACCTTTTGGAATATTTGGAAAGAGAGAAATAGGAGAATTTTCAACAACAAGATAGAAACGGTGCCGCAAGTAGCCGCAAGGATAAAGGAAGACATAGAGCAAAGGAAGAGAGCATTCGCTTATGTTTAGCTATTGTTCCCCCGTTGAGGTGTGTGTTTCCCTCCTTTACCTCCTTCGGGGGGCTTGAAACCATCATCTGGAATGTCCTTGCTCGTACATAAACTATCTTTCCCTATCTTAATCGAAAGACGGAGCTCATGCCATTGCGTTAAAAAAAAAAAAGACTGCAACCAAAAAAAAACCTCCACGGGACAGACGAGGTGGCGAGGTTTTGTTTTTACGGCCTGCTGGTGTGGACAGGCGAGGGGGCGAGGGATTTTTTTTTAATACGAACCAGTGGTTCGTGCAACCACTGCGGTCACAATCCAGCTTTATAGCAACACAGAAATGTCACCAATGTTCGCAATCCAGCTCGGGTGCTACTGAGGCCACCTGACCACCCGGGCAGGCGCCCGTTCGCGTGAGGCTGCAATCAGAGATGCAAGAAAAACAAAATCACCAAGGATCATATTATTCCCGGTAAAATATCGACCACTAAGATAAAAATTTTCACATGTATATAACAAAATCACCAAGGATCATATTATTCCTGGTAAAATATCGACCACGGATGTAAAGTTTTTTCACATGTGTATGTCCTGATGCCAATAACCTCGAGAACAATCCAAATTGCTAGTTATGCTACCGTCAATGAACTAAAACAAATCCCATTCAGTTTTGCAAAGGCTCTCCTGTCAGAAAGCAAGTTTGGCACCAATCTCAACACGAGGGGTTTCCAGACAACCTGAATGAGTATACTGTTCCTGCCACTGATCAGTACATAACCACTGCATTCAGATTTCAGAGAGATTTGTTTCATAGGGCAGCCCAGAGCAGGATGCTGTAAATTTAGCAGCTACATCGAAGGAAGTATTCAGCACCACACTGCAAGAATTTCATCAGCCCAGGTTAAACATTGAGCCAGTCTTGGCTATTCTCAACTCTCACTAGATCACAAAAGCCTCTCAATATGACTTCTGTGACAAATCAAATACTTGCAGATTCATTATAATAAAGCTCTGCCTTTTCTTTTCTAAAAAAAAAAATTACATATACAGCCATATTTCTTCAGTTGTTTCGGCTCAATAGCATCAACATATTTCCTACCGGTCACCTTAATTAAACAAATACAACATGATACAGCTGCCAGCTAACATAGCACTGTATAACTCTCCACTAGAATGCCGTACCGGCAGTAGAAACGAAAAAACGACAGCTTCAGCCACGCTGTTTCTTCGAGCTAGGTAAATCATCATCAAAGTGACCACCATCTTCCGCCCCATCTTTCTCGCCCTTCTTCCTAGCCAGGATCTTGTTGATCTTGTGGAGGTCATTCGTGAGCTTCTGGTCCTTGTTCTGCTTCCTAGTCTTCCTGCCGTCCTGCATCTTCACCCCAAACTGGAAGGCAGCCTTCGGCATGGCTTCTTTCTGATCGTTGTACTTGGCCCACTCCTCTTCAGTCTCAAAGTCCCACCTGTGAAGACGGCCCTTTGCCTGCTCAAGAATCGTATATCAGAACACACTACAGAGATTATCCAAAAGCGCCAGCGAGAAATTTTTTTTGTATCTTTCCACAGCAGATGTGACCATGGGCTTCAGTAAACCATTTAAAACCAAAAGCCACAATCTATATCACAACTGAACAATAGAAGAAGTACAGGCTAAACAACCAGAACATAGTAATATCAGGACAACAGTCTTGGAATTATGCTCAAATACCAGACAGAACAGTAACTAAAAAGATCTCACAAAAACAGCTAGAACACTTCACTGTTAGTTTTCAGAATATTCAAATACATAATGAAGAAAAATGTGCAGAAATGAGTTATTAGTGCAAATCAATTTAAAAGCAAATGCAACATAATAGACATTAACTAAGTGATGCCTAGCCTATCCATTTCACAGAAACCCATGTCACAAGCATAGGCTTGCATTTGCAAGGGAACTTTTTTGTTCATAAGATCTAAGTCATTTCACTTACCCGTCCACCCATATCCATCTTCGATAAATCATCTTCATCATCGCTTCCTGCAATCTCATTATTATACTCCTGGTAACCAGGATAACACTCTGAGTAACTATCTGAAATAAAATTTGGATCTCTCTCCCGTGCATCTTTTTCCCTCAGTTGATTAAGCCTTTGATCATCACGTTTGAAAACAGAACCTAAACCCCGATCCTTGTCTGCTTGAGTCATGAACCTCGGATCCTGGGATATACTAGGGTCAGCTAACACATCGTATTCCTGGGTGCTTTGCTGCACATACTGTTCTGGATAACCCAACTGCTGTTCTGCATACACATAGCTTGACCAGTCACCTTGATATCCAGCAGCTGCCATCTGGGCTTGAACAGCATCATACCCGTTCTGGCACCAGAAAAGACACCAAATATTAAGACCAAGTTGAATAAAAAGCAAATAAAACTAAAAACAGGTTATAGCAGGCCATGAACATGGAGAGATAACAAATACACCGCCAACCTCTAACATTCAGTGCACAGCTAAGTCACTTAACATTTATAGGCATACCTGCTGTTGCCAAGCTTGAGCAGGTTCAGATGATGGTACTGGGCCATACATGGGTTCAGTGAAATTGGACTGCTTCTGATGGTTATGTGGGGGATTCATCCATATCAGAAACAGGGCTCTGACTTATTTCCTTGTTAGGAACTGAATAGTCAACTCCATCTCCAACAAAAATGTCATCATCGTCTGCTCTTGCAACAGGGACTGGTTGTTTCTCCTTTCCATTGAAATTATTGTTCCGAGGGGTTGGAGCTGGTGGTGGTGGCATATCTGATTGATGTTTCAGAGTAGAACCATTAATTTGGGAAGGTTTTACTGACTCATCATAGTCACCACTTGCCAAATTGCTCTTCCCTGCATATAGCAAACATAGTACCTTAACCAGCAAGCACATGAAGATAATCCTAAAAATAATACTAGCAATACAATTGAAACAAAACTCATGCACCCAGACAAAACTAACAACTTTACTTTTAGTTCAGTTGTGCTGTCCTAACGTCATGTTATCATGACAGGATGGAGTATATAATATAACTAAAAATGTGTTAGTTCTTCCAAACAAAACACTTTAGCATATTTCCTAATGTATTTACCATGAAAGTTTTCCTGTTCTCAGATTCTAACTTAACAATATCCCTAGTATATAATTTATTCTCATGAACAAACCTTTTATATCTCTATCCTTTTTCTTTTTCTTCAAGACCTTCCCCGATGATCCAAGCCGAAGGTATGTCATAATTTTAGCAATCCTGTCAAGTACAGAACCATCCACGCTGACAGTTACCATCTCCTGCAAAAGTAAGGTCATAAGAAAAGTTACAAAACACTCCAACATGTGATATGTCATCATATTGTCAGAATACCTCTGGAACCGGGCAATCAGCTTTGCTCCTATGAAGAGTTGTTGGAATATCATTGGTTACTCCCTCCTCCTGATTGGATTATAAAAAGATAATTACTATGCTTTATAAACAAAAATGTTCAAACCCAAAGTAAAAGGAGACAGATGAAATGATACAACAAAAGTTCGAATACAAAAGAAAAGAATTCGACAATACTGGCAACTTCGTGAGAATAAGCTGTTCTGGCCCACCCCTACTCTATTCTTCTAAGAAAACCTATGGAAAGGATATGATTTCTTGTTTGTGATTCGTGGTTGCTATGATGCACCTTAATGACAATCAAATTCACACGAACAGCAAATCATGCCATCAGGGATAAAGTAAATTAACACACTTGAATATAATGGAGCATAATAAAATCACAAGACTATTCAGTTCCCAAGTGAGAAATTCAGGAAACTGATTGTTCTGCACTCAGGTGATCAGCAGAGAAACAGACAATTTCTTATCATAGAATGAAACATAATCATGCATTTCATATACTGCAAAAGGCAACAAAAAATCATAGGATATGTGTGTTAAATTCTCAGAATAAGAAGGTTAAATATGAATATCTAAGTAAACTAATATATAAACATAATCTCAATTTCTCAGAGTGCTTTGGGTATTTATACATAATACCATGTCTGCAAGTATAAATGAACACTGATGGGTGATGAAAATACAATAATGCATGCATCTGGTCATTTCTGAGAAAAATAGGGAAATTTTAATGCCTTAGTTTGTGATTTGCAACGCATGAATATTCTGAAATGTATTATAACGAACTCCATTATGTAATGAAGCAAATATATTATTATAGTTTATAGGAATACTTTTAAGGGGATTACCATGTTGTAAATAAATGACATCCGACCCGGAAGAAACAATTCATTCTCCTTAATTATGCTTTGAGGCCTTATGATCCATTGGTAGACAGACTGCAACCAACAAAGAATGAAAATCAATAGCCATGTTGTATTAACCATTAATGTATGAAGGAAAAAAAACTCACTGAAAAGTGATAAATAAAAAAGAAACATACCTTTGCAGTTGCAGTGCGGAAGGAGACTGCCTGATCTTCTTTTGTTGCCCTGAACAACAAAAGTGAAAGATAAATGTTATGCTCCCAAAGCACTAGGTGCATCCGGAGTAGAAACATGAGGTGTTAACAAGTGTTGTTATATCTGAAACTGGGAGATGGATGGATATTATATTTGTAGCACACGGTGGTGCTAATGATGGCAGAAAATGATATTTCGCTGAGATAATATTTACTTATTTAGTTACTTACACACATTCCAAATGGAACACAGCATTATTGATTGTACAAAGAAAAAAGACCTTACACGAATCTGAGTTAGCATGCTAGCAAACCAGTTGTGCACAATGGCTTCAGGAATACTGTCAAAGTTATGTAGTACTACAAGTGATCGAAATGCAAAATATCACAGGAGGCACAACCCCTTTCTTAATTTACATTAGCAATTTACAGGAACAAGAAATTTATTCACAAATAAAACTCATAAAATTCAAGAGGAAAGAAATTGGATCTATTAAATCAACTCAAACTCCAAAACTTTGGAGGTAGCCGAAAATTGTTCGGTCCATATCATTGAGTCATCATGGAAAAAATTCTGTACTGGCATACTACAGCATTCGAAATACAAACTGCATACTACAGCATTCGAAATACAAACTGCATACATGACAGTCACTATTATAGGCATACTACAGCATTCGAAATACAAACTGCATACATGAATTTTTCAACCCTAATTGACGTTACAATCATATAAGGCGAAAACTGTGATAATGTGACATAAGGATGGCAATTACCTTGACTTTGCATCCTTCCCATCCTCTGCATCAGGTTTCTTTTCAATTTCACTCCGTACTTTGTGAAGTAGAGCATAGTCCAAGCCCTTGACCAGATGTGTATGCTCCAAATCGCCTTAAAAGCATAAAGTGGAAATGGAATGTCAATCAAAGAGCAGCTCATAGGATGGAAACATAAAGAGAGGCATCTGAGACTCTGAGTCACCAGCCAATATCCAATATATAGTGTCACCTTCTCTACCTTTATTTTCTATTACAGGAATTCATGAATGACTGATTTCTTCTTAGGTTAAAGGATCAAGTTGGTGCTAACTCTTCACTTGGAGAAAATGATGTTCTGAAACTGAGAACATCATGCATTACCAATTTACCAAATTTATAAGACTATGTTAAACAGCACTCATTTTTACAGAAGTCATGATTCAGACAGCTCGTGCACAGGTATGCCCACTTGTTCATACACATAAAAAGCAGTACAACACAGAAGTAAGGAGACATGCCAAAGAGAGTTTCGCCACAAAAAGGAAATTATCTCCTTAAAGAAAGTATAGAATCACAACCAACCTCCGAGATATTTGCTTTTCTCAATTGAAATCTTGTGGGCATCTGCCAGCCTGTGACACAAACATTGCAGAGATTAGGATTCCAGGGAACATAGAAAAATAAACTAAGCACTGATGGAAGTGCCAGATAAATGAACATGTGATCTATTACCTCAAATCAGTCCCAGGAGGTGCCACTGCATGAAATGAACCAAGTTCTGTAGGTTCATAATCTGGGTTTTGATCTTCACGACGCTCCTTAGCACGATCACGATACCTGGGTGTCTCTGGTTCTTCTTTTTTCTCCTCTCTGAATGGAAAACAAGAGGTATTTAGGTTCGCCAAATCACTTATATACAGTAAGTAACATGAGTTCTAGTTTGCATCTAATTTGTCTTATCAGTTACTACTTTAACATGATTACAGATTCTGGTACATATCCTAAAAGGCTGAAATAGTGTACAAATTCTATCCAAGACCATCATAGTCCCTAAGTGTGGGATCCTGAATATTTTCATAACTCCCTTGTTTTAGCACTTCAGCCATTTTAATGCAGTTCCTCTGCATCAACAGCTTAATTTCGTAGACATGGATAGTATATTATTACAGATACAAACATAATGATGATTATTTGGGATTTCGCAAAAGAGTACAAGTAAAAGTGAATCACCACCAAAGGGTGAAGATAAATGCAAGTAATGTAGCAGATGGACTATGTGACTAGAGGGTTAAGCTACAACAACAGCACTGGTTGCATTTTAAGTTCCAGACATTCTGGTAATCGTGTTACAACTACAGTAAGAAATTAACAGCACCATCAACAGCTGCGGTTTCCTGATAAATTTATCTGCATAATAAGTTTCAGACATATGAAACAGATAAGTTCTCCGTTTTCCAGCCTCATTCAAAACTTGTTTGCATCATGAACAGAAAGACAGCTATAATTGGGGGGGGTGAAGATTTGACAAGAACTAACTACAGTAGGTTCCTTCTTCCAAAGAGAGACAGCTCTAATTCTACTGTCCAAGCACATATTGACGGAACAAATGAAAGCAAATGTACGGTGGAGCGCTTACTTCCGCCGCATCATCTTCTCCTTATAGTAGTTCTTCTTCGACGACATACTATCTCCCTCTCTTCTGTATCCCTAGAATCATTTGGGGGAGAAATTAGAACCTCGACGCAAAAATTATAGGCCCGGCTCACAGACTCGCCCGGAGACTCGGTCTTAGGGTACCTGCTCACAGTAGCTACGGCAGTGGAAGATGGGAAGGAGCGAGACAACGGAGCTTGACAGACGGGAGGCAGATGGCGGCGGCGGCGGCGGACGGCGCCGCGGCGGGAAGCAGAGTGCCGGACGCGAGACGGGCTGTGGCCGGTGGGAAACCCGAGCGGCGGTGGGAGACGGGACGGAGGCGCCGCGCGGGGATGGGTGGAGGCTGCCAGGCTGGAGAGGCGGCGGGAGACTGGCGCGCCGGTGCGGCAGTGCGGCGGTGCCGGAGTGACTTTTTCGATTTGGCCCTCGGATTCCTCAGCTGTTCGCAGCCGCAAAAGCTGAGCACCGAGCACGGGATGACGGGACGGGATCAGGATTCTCTGTTGCTGAGTCACCTGACGACACGTATTCTAGTGTGCTGGATCGAGATCGCACAATGGCCGCCGCGACGGCAGTTGAAGCACCCGTGTACTGTACACGGCGATGAAGAAAGCCTTGTGGTCGAGGAGCGTGTCCGTCCACCTCGAGGAACCGAGGAAGCCAACCACAACGCCGAGGCGACTCAGGACACTGCCCTGCTCTCACGCCTTCCATCAAAAGTTCAGAAACTGCATCTTCTTCGGCTGACTGTCCATGTCTCTTCCCTCAAACTCTTCTGTGCCAGATAGAGGCAGCAGGAGCTGGAAGCATGCCCCTGCCAGAGGGAGCAGCAAGTCCATCAGGAACCGGAAAAGCGATGATCCAGTGCAGGGATTTTTTTTTTTTTAAGAAATGGTAGGAGTTCTACCGCTCAATTAGAAAAAGAGTTTTACGTACACATGGCACTCTAGGTGCCTGATCAAAAGAGGAAAAAACGTCACTCTGCTAGTTAGCCTCCACATCAAAATTCATAGTCCTATGTCTTCGCACTATATTCTCTTTGGTCGAGTAAGCGATCTGCTGCACCGTTTGGAACACATTTTCGAATATCCTCCTATTTCTAAATGTATCCCCGTCTCCAAAGAGCTGTTACACAAGACACAATGGTCCTCATGGGTAGATTATCCGCCATTAGGATTTTATTGTGTAGGAGGATCTAGGCGTGAATTTTACACTTATTCTCTACCCGCGCTTTCCATGTAATTGTGTCCTACACATTGGGCTCTAACTGCAACCCCTACAATCTGATTCATAGGCCGACAAACTCCTGGACCTGTAATGTCGATGTGCTGCGTGTACGTAGTGATCTGATCCAATTACCGTTGTTCAATTCTTGGCGAACCGTTCGTGCGCACCAGTTTGAATAGGTTCGGCGCCAAATATCTCGGCGCCTCTCCCTCTAACCAACCGTGGTGCCAGAAGCGCGCCCTGTTGCCATCGCCAATGATGACCCTAGTGGAGGCATTGAAAAGCAGACGATCCATGTTGTTGCACAGCACGTCCGTGCCTACCCAAGGCTTTGGATCATCTCCCCACTCCTGCCAGAGCCACCGAAGGCGCAAGGCTCTCCCAAACCTGTCCAAGTCCGGCACACCCATACCCCCAACTCCTTGGGCCCGCAAACCGTCGGCCAATTCACCAGACAGTGTCCCCTATTGGCGTTCTCCTCTTCTTTTCAAAGGAATGATCTTCTTATTTTATCAATCTTCTTCCTAGCCCACACCGCTAGCGGGGACACCATGAGATGGTAAGTAGGCATTGAAGAGAGCACCGTGGTGACTAAAGTTAGCATGCCTGCTCTATTCATCATCTTTCCTTTCCAACGTGGCAATTTCTGGTCAATGCGCTCAATGAGTGGCTGCATGTGGACCTTTTGTAGTGATCTTGTATGTAGCTGCAGCCCAAGTACCTGCACGGGAAAGATTCTCTTGTCCTTGTGAATGAGGCCAAGACATGATCAAAGTCAACATCTTGTCGTCTGATTGGGTGCTTTTCTCTAGGTTTATGTGCGGCCCAACACTCTGCCGAATTCATGTAGGATAGTCATGGTGGCTTCTAGATCCTCCTTGTTTGGGTTAAAGAAAATTGCTACATCGGCATACATATATAAACAATAAAATCCCAAACCCTCTCTGCTGTCTGCTCTGCCGGGAATCGGATCGACCAAGAGTCCAAGACAGATTAGCAGCACTAGCTTGGTCATCTGTTCCAACTAGAGCGATCTGAAAAGAGCATCTTTACTTTTCTCTTCAATGTCAAACCAAAACTAACACGAAAGCAGTGTCATACCGCCATTTACGCAAGCATGGAATGTTATTATATTGAGCATGTAGATGGGCATGCTGCATGCATGAACAACTAACACAGTAGATGGTCACTGCCTAGCACTCTTTTGGGAAACCATAAAACATGTACAACTGGTTCCATCTCAAATTCCGTGGCAAAAATAACCCGATGTGAGGCCTAAGCAACATAGAGTTCTGCCTACTTTTTTTTTTTTCTGTCAAAGGATAAAGCAGAGTAACACTGCGGTAACTTCTCTCGATGTGTACCCATGCAAGCTATGAACTCTACTGAAGAAACATGAACAATCTTCTTGAGCAGAAGCACTCCAGCTGGAAAACCAAATCAGTCTTTTGCGTCCATGATTCCACCTGATGTAACCTGGAAAACGTGCTATTGGTCAAGGGAAACAAGTTTCATGTAATATCACATTGATAATTTGTATCATCTAACATTCGGTCATGGCAGCTAGCACTTAGCAGGTAAGGTTCGCTATAACACTAGAGTTTGCTATGCAGGTCTAAGCAAGGCAATTTAGCTAGATTTTAGCAAGCTTTGAAAGTAAGGCAACCATTAACGCAAGCAGTAAACATGGACCACCAAAGCAAAAGGATATAGCTTCTCCTTCAGGAAGGTTAGGAGCATCGAAGATCTTGCAGACACGCTGCTCGCCTTTGCCTTTCCTCAGCATCAATCTGATGGTGGCAGCATGCGCCAACACATGGCCTCCTGCTGGTTTCTTTGGATCGGTTATGAACATGCCGCCACCTGGATCAGCGATCACTGCAACACAAAAAGGGAGAGCTTAGAATTTGAAGTTCATTGATCTGTAAACTCTTGAAATTGATATATATACAGTGCTAAATAGCAAAGCCCACCTTGGTTGGTGATGTACACTGCAACATTGAACTCCTCGGCAATCTTGGTAAGACGGGACAGCATCTGTGCTAGCTTTTGCTGCAATTCCACAGCAGGTAAACATAAGCAAGCAGACAAAACGACACCCTTCAACATTTTTACGAGGTGCCGACTGCCATTGAAATGAATTGATGGGAATACCTGGCGCTCTGCAAGTTCACCCCTGCCACTGAAATCAACACGGAATAGTGCAATCACAGAATCCACAATCTGTTTCCAGGATGATAGAACTACCACATGAGCACGACTCTGATTATCAAAAATCAATGCACATTACAGTTTCATGCCTACCAGAAGCCTGAAAGGTTCTTCAGCCATCTTGGCAGCAAGGCCCAGGAGTAAGTTGTACTGGTGCTCATAGGTGTATGCACGAGCATATATGATCTAACCAGAAACAGACATAAAATGAAACAGCCAATTTGGTCTATTAGTGGTGAAATGGGCTAATAGAAACGAGAAATGTTAAATGCATGGAATTCATACATTGTCGAGAACAGCATTGGCATCCATCCCAAATCTCTCAGCAATTGGCACAATGCGTTCAGGTCGGCTGAAAACTTCATTAAGGAAACAATTTGGAGATGACAGGAATAAATATAAACTCTTGAGAGAATCAGCTTGACAAATTACTCAAGAAATTCCAAAGATACAATGTTCCCTCAGTGTCAATGTAGGCAACCTTCCCATTCCCCCCATGCATGTGGATTGGAAGCTGCATTTTCATCAGTCAGAAATAAGAAAGTAGTTCAGTTGCTTCTTTGTTTCCTCAAATTCTATTGCTTCTATATTTCCATGGTCTAGGTGCTATCTACAAAACTTGATGCGGGGAATGAACCTGAGTGGAGACACATAGTGTATGAGCCAACTGGGTCTTCCCTGACCTGCAAGACAACCAGATGACATATATTTCAAACTAAAGCTAGAACTGAACTCAGAAATATCATTACGTTCAAAAAAAGAACTGAACTCAGAAATATAGTTACAAAAGCACAACATAAGTCAACATTCACTGTGACTATTCCCAGTATATACTTAAGACGTTTCTTTCATTTGCATGTAAGAGGTTTGTGCGATAGTGTGTTGTATACAATGCCAAATTGCTCCCAGTCCCAGCAATAGAATACAAAGGGAATTGTTTCATATACTGTTCCATTTAGAGAAAACATAGATCCAATCTCCAATCTTAATTTCATTGTCATTAACGAATAATTTTCGCATCAAGAATATGGTGAGAAATTGTATTCATGTGGTTAAGTTAGCAAAGCAAAGGCATGGTTACATAGAAACTATAAGTGCTAGCAATACATATAGAAGATGAGACAACAGAAAATGGCGGTACAAGAGGGTTGGAAAGGTTGTATAATCAACCAAAATACAGTAATACATAACTGAGTTAGACCTAAATACATTTATTACAAGTGTGGCCCTATATCATAAATATCAACTATACACATAATATGGCTCCTGCAGCAGAACTTCAGAAAAAAGAAACAACAGGAACAAGAACATCAACGTGCGGAACTCCCCGAACGCCTCTGTGATGCAAAGTGTTTCAATCCCTCCTTCAAATTTAAACATGTCCATCTATTAGACTAATATAATAGCATGACTGATCACATGACAGATTTCAGATATATTACCGCCAAGCAGCTCATCAAGTGCCTGGCTCCCAGTTGTAATCCGAACAACAGACTTCCGCTTCAAATAAGCCAAAATAAATCAAACAGCCTTAATGGACAACACATATGAGAAGTAAAAGTGCTCAACTAGATTCAATAACTAATCAACCTTTGTCAGTTAGTTTACGTATTTACAAGCAGTCAAGCATTGGTTATCACTCATCAGACACACCAAAGTGGTAAACCATATACCAATTAGTATCTTAAATGCAATTTCTTACCTTAAGAAGGAGATCATTTCCTGTCATGAAGCCCTGGTTCTGTGACAAACAAGAAAGAAGAGAATTTCAAGATAATATCATACAGAACTGATTGCATGGAAGTTTAGTAAGCAAAAGCAACTTAAAGGATCAGACCAGAAGTTTTCAGCTGCCTCATGAGATCTTATCAACTTTTGCTTCGGATAAACCTTTGATTCCTGTAAGGTTCTGCAAGACAATCCATAAATTAGAACAACAGCCATATGTTCAGAATATTGAACAAATGAAAGCAAGCATGCAAGTGCCACAAACAAGATATCAATTTAAGCACCGTGCAGCAAAAATTCAGACAAACAGAACAAAGATTTGGGTATTGGGATGCATAGTTCAGAACCTTCTTGGTATGCATCATTAGGCCATTGCAAGTGTAAATCCCTGCATCCTGCAGCTTCTTCACGTCTCCTGCATTTATCCCCTGAGATATCACTGTGCCAAAAAGATGTATGCACCACAGATTAGCTTGAATGCAGGATTTATATATGCTGAGAACTTAAATTAATAGCGTTGAACCACACAAATGGAAAATGCAACACAACGTGAATCCTGTTTCCCAACAAAATATGAACCCAAGCCTAAAGCCTAAAACCCTGAGTGCCCAAGTGCAACGGTAGCACACAGAGATTAAAACGACCTAACCGCATAACTTCAATCAAACGTGGGGAAAAGTAACCCCACCAATTTATGCCACAACGCATCACTAGTTTATTCCCAAAATCCTCGAAATTTTGGGGAATCAGAAGGGGCACAAAACCCCACTACGCGCAAAACCAAACAAATGCCGACACCAAGCTCAAATCACAACAACTTCACTTCGAAGCAGCACCAATACGGACCGAAATTCCAGAACCCAAAAGCGAAACGGCAGAATGCAGAAGCGATCCGCCGTCCTCGGCGAGTGGAGCATCGATCGATCAGAGAGGTACGACACAAAGGGAGATAATAATTGCTAGAAAAAGTATTCCACACAAAAGTCCCAGGATAGAACGAGCTAATTTCGAATTCCACTGCACTTTGCTGACCATTTTGACAGAGTGAAGTCGGGGATCGTGAACTCAGACTGAGCCTAAATTCAGACCAATCTATGCAGAAGTAACGGTAGCACACACTGATTAAAATTAAAACGAACTAGCCGCAGGATTTCGATCAAACGTGGGGAATACTAGAACCCCACGAACTCATGCCATGAACAGCAAAACCCCAACTAATTTTGGGGGAATCAGAAGGAACGCAAAACCCCAACTACGGGCACCCAACAAAAACAAACAAATGCCGACCCCAAGCACAGATCCCACGAACTTCACTTCGAAGCAACACCAACTCGGACCGATATTTGCGAACCCAAAAACGAAACGTCAGAAGGCGGAAGCGATCCGACCGCCGTGGCGGAAGGCGACTGCAGCATCGATCAGGGTGGTAGCATAGGAGGCCGCGCGCGCGGAACAAGTAATGCGGGATGCGGGAGGCCAGAAGGGAGGGGAGAGGGCGCGACGTACGCTTGTCGATGGACTCGAAGCACTCCTCCTCGTCCTCGACCCTGTCGGCGTCTATGAGCTGGAGCTGCCCGCCCTCGTCCGCGTGCCTGGACGGCGCCATGTGCCTGCAATAGTAGCGCGATCGGGAGACGGAGGAGAAGTTAAGCACGAGCGCGGCGAGTGAGGGACACGCGAACGGCGGGGAGAGAGAAGGGGGAGGAGCGGCGGCGCGTACCTGCGCCAGGAGGAGGAGGAGGCGGTGGCCGCGAGGCGCTAGCGAGCGAGCTCGTGGGGTGGGGCTCGGAGGAGGAGCAAGCGGAGGCGAGAGACTGTTGAGGAGAGAGGGTGTGTCGTGTCTCGTGTGATGCTGTGCCGGTGCGGGGGGTACTTGAAGGCTGGCTACCCGGACTCGTTCTAGGACGGGTCGGGCTTGGCTTATCGTTGGGCTGGGCTAGGAATGGGTTGATGGGTCTCGCCAACCAACAGCCTGTTCGGCCAAGTTCGGCTGGGCTGAAACGATCGTAATTATTACTCAGCCTGTTCGTTTGGCTGTGGCCTGTCGTAAACGATCGTAAATTTTTAGTTGGAATAGTATTTTTCTCTCACACAAACCAGCCAACAGTACTTCTTTACGAATCAGCAACGAAACGAACCAGCCAACCGAACAGGCTGACTGCTGATGGGTTTGGTGTGAGAGCTAGAAATTTAAGATCGTTTACGGCGAGCGAAGTTCAGCCTAGATTAGTATCCGTCACTGACTGCCATGGGATGGGCCGACACGATGAAGTGGACCTGGACTTTGAGGCCCATAGGAAACTTCCATGCCCTCGCAGTCAATTTTGCTTAGCAGTCGTTTCTGCTTTCTACCGTCCGTACACGATCAGGCTGATCAGGCATGATGTCATACCATTACCATATACCGACAGAGAGACATGTTTCTGTATTCGTCAGCTTCCAGCTCGTTCCGATCAATCAACTTGCTTCACCACACCATGATGTTGAACTGTGTCGACATAGGAAAAAGAAAATACCGAACTTGCTATACAACCGACCGACATTCTTACAGTTCGCAACGAACTGTTTACTGTTTACATTTGCAGATTTTTTTTTTCTATGATGTACGTATCTTCCATTGAGGCTAACGTGGCACGTTGGACAAGGGCAAAAACTCATGTAATCGGCAAGTCGGCATTCAGTTCTACAAGTTCATAACGAGGACCATCTATTCATTCTGCAGTCCAAGCACCGCCTCCGTCTGTCCTCATTCTTCCTGATCATTGCAGGAACCATTATTTGCTGCGCCAGTAAAAGATTAAGTTATTATTCTATACATGATATATCAGTATAAGCCTGTATGTATCACTTCTCCTTCTGACCATTACACGTACGATCACAACTTAGACCTGGGTGCCTCCGCCTCCCGCAACTCTGCATACATATCTGAAATTTCCTTTGCAAAGTATGTCTTAGCTTGCGGTCTTTTGACCTGCAGAAGTATTGGGGATGGGAGTGTAAGCCAGAGCCACTCAGCATTTCATCAGTTGTAAATTTCTTATAGAGTCACCAGTGGGGCCTACCTTGAATGTTGGGGTGAGGAGACCATTCTCCACTGTGAATGGCTCAGCAACAAGCCGAACAGCTTTAGCAAATTCAAAACCTCTTAGCTGGTACAACAGGGCACAGGAAATCAATAAACGATAGCTGCAGAACAGTTTCACTTGGATTGAGCATTAGATTTTGTTACGTAGGTCAGAGCAGAAGAGAGATACCTGCGCTTCCTTCCCAACAGAATCCATATCAGCCAGGACAGCAGCTCTTGCTCTGGGGTCAGCACAAAGCTGTCTCAAGTCTTCGCACTACATGTTAGAAGGGCAGTTTAGAGCATAAAACCCTGTGCAAATGTTAAAGACTTGCTTGAAGGTCTATCTGTGCTGAGTTTTACTGTGAGGAACAGTGGACAACATATCCAAGAGAGAAACAGGTTGCAGGCATGAAACACTCAAGGAATGTGCAAGTGACAATAACACGGTAAAGTTGGATAATTTTTATCTAGTGTGATCTATTGAGTGGCAAAATAGTTGAAAAGTAAACTGGCGCTTAAGATGGCAACTAATAAAATTCCACCGGATCTACACTTCCTTTGGACCACAGGCCGCAGCTGAAAACAGAGGATTTAGTGTTCAACAGCCATGCTAAGAGGGAGTGGAAGAGGCTGCCACAGTTCCATTCGATATATGAATCAACCAAAGCATAAGATGGAAAATGAACGCCAGTTTTCATAATTATAAGTTGGACCAGTGTCAGAGTACTTACAGACATTTTTTTTGAAGGATGAAATAAATAGATGGCAAACGTTATGGTTAACATCTTTTACCTGGATCCCTTCAGATGCAGCCCAAGCCTTCAAAACCTCTGGTTCAACTGCAATAATACCAACTAAGGAAGAGTTTAAACTATCACCTGCATCCAAAAGAAGAGATTTAGAACATGCATGGCCATAACTGATGGTCATATAGCCAACATAGAATCAGAAATATTACCATATATAAAACATTGGGCAATGAACTTGCATTTGGCATAAACATTTTCAATCTTCTCTGGAGCTATGTATTCTCCTTGAGCTAACTTGAAAATGTTCTTTTTCCTAGAATCCAGGACAAGATGTAAGGCGTTAGTAATATAGGAAGAAAAATAGTGAAATCAAACAGCACCTAGGGAAAATGCATATCAACAATATAGCCAAGGAAAAGTGTTCTGCAAGAACACAAGTTCTGAATGGATAATGAAGTTTTGATTCCTTGGCCATTTAGTTGTACAGAAAAGCTGTCAAGAGCAAAATGAAGGAATCTTCAATAATTCATTTATATTTTTGGATGGGCTGCACCATTCAGTATGTTACAATTCAGTTATGAAGCTTTGTAAGGCTACTAATATTATTGCTATTAATATTATATCAAGTACATTATAATAGAAAATGTATGGACATGAAAGCAGAAAAAAAAAAGAGATTCCAGCAAGCTTCGGTTTGTTCAATGAAACTTGTCTCATAAATTTGTCTCCTCATGAAGAATTAGTTCAAACTTGGAATGTCACACATGTCACACCAGACAGTAGGTCTATTCTAGCCCTAGGTTCAAAAGGCTGTAGAGATTATTTTATGATGATTTTAATGGATGTTGTGTGGAGAGTCCAAGAGAACTAAGAATATAAATTGCAAATTATCGTGGCTTACTGAGAGAAAAACATTGTAACCTTAATTCCAAAAGGAAAGCTAAAATATAAAACAGTGCACATTTTTACCTATCAATAATCTTTAAACGCCCTCCAGGTAGCCACAGACCTATGTCTCCAGTGTGCAACCAACCATCTTCGTCAATGACTTCTTTTCTGTAGTTTTTAAATGTATTTATTGATAAATTGCAGTTGAAGCTCATTCAGTACAAAGGTAAGTTTAAGTGAAGGATAGAAATTTACGTTTGAACTTCATCTTTATAGTAACCATGGAATATTATAGGTCCTCTAACACAAATTTCTCCACGAGGATAAGGTTGATCGTCAGACGTATAATTCATTTCTGGGACATCCACAAGTTTCACCTCTGAAAATGGAAAGACAAAGGTCTACATTACGAAACTGTGAAAACAAAGCAAAAGCACAAAGGCATACCCGATTATTTTGGATATGGATGTCATTTGATTAGTGTCATATGGGAAAGAAAATTGACATCTTTCTCAAGAAACAGGCTGCTTTTATTCCAGAAACATGACCCATTCAACATGGTGACCACAGGACCTTGCTAAATGGATGACCTCAAGCACGTTAGACTTAAAACTTAAAAATAACCCTTGAAAATGGATGCAAGGCATAGAAACAATAATTTAGGATAAGTTTGTTCAATGCAACTAATCTCAGTGAACATTTATTGGATTTTCAAAGTACCACCATCAAGGCATCATCAATATAAGATAAGTAACATCCATTTTTTTTAAAAAAAAAAACAAATAAAGGCCTACCAACTTTAGCATGGCTTCTCTATGAGTCTATGTATATTATTATATTATAAATTTAATTCATGGACAATATTTTCAACACAAGTGCAAGTTCCAAGCAAATTTATTATATCCTTGACATTGAAACACACAGCTTACCACAAGATGCAATTGGGGATCCAACATGACCAATTGATCTGTCACCAACATCCATTGCAGATATGATACAGGATGTCTCTGTCATTCCATAGCCTTCAAGAACTTCACCACCAAAGCATCTATAGAAATTTAAACAGTAATTGTCACTAAACTAAATTCCAAAAATCATCCAAGAGAGCTCAGAAGAAGACAACTTACATCCTCAGGAATTCCATGACATCTGCTGCCAGTGGAGAAGCACCTGAACTCATAAGTCTCACTCGTCCACCAAGCCTAGCTTTTATTTTGTTAAATACCAACTTATCCCACACTGGGGATGGATTTTTCCCTGATAGCACAAAGTATAGAAGTGACATTTTATTGTGCATACATGTGATGATGAAAACTGAATTAAAAGGTGGCATCAAAATGTAAAATTAGACTGATTCAGTTTTTTCCAATTAACAGCAATAAAGAAACCAAGAAGATTACTATTTGAAGTTCTGAAACAGAAGTTACGACTACGTGCTACTGCCATATAATGAAGTCCTGAAGAAACTACAAAACCATCATGTATTCATGTTTGCTAGTACCAGACTCCATCCCTTTACATTCTATGAGTGGCCACCAATCTTAGGATGAATGTCATTTGCACAGCAAAACCCAAATGGTTGGCTGCACCATATTCTTGCTTCAAAACTATACACAGAAACAAAATAAAGGATTGCACAAAGTATTCTATTTTCCAAGTAAAACCAGGCTGGTATTAGGATACTGAGGTCATCCTAAAGATCATAAGGTATATACCAAACTAGATAATGCAAAGACACACATGAACAAAAAAAAAAGGCATATTACTTCCCAGTGTGTTTATATACTTGTCATTGTTGACTTTTGCTATTGTAACTTTGACCAGCTTAGTTAGTGCATATTTAAATTCTTATGAATAAAGGGGCGTACCCAGTGCAGAGAGGGTACGCCCCTTTATTCATAAGAATTTAAATATGCACTAACTAAGCTGGTCAAAGTTACAATAGCAAATAATACTATAGTACTATCTATATCAAATCTACCAATTACATGTTTATTTTACCTAAGTCAGTCATTTGGAAGTTACTATACAAAGTATTTTTGGAGTTATAGAAAATAACTTGGTTTTGTGAAATACTTTGGTTTTAGAGTGCCATGAAGTGTTTCGGTGCAACAAACTTTATGGTTTTCAATACCATGGTATTGCTGAAACTGTGGTCTTTTTGGTGTTTTAAAAACTCCACTCTAGACCTCTTTTTCCTAAACCACGGTTTTGCACATCAATGGTTCTAAAACTACAGTTTCTTGATACTATGGTTTCTTAATACTACAACATCCAAACAAGGCCTAAGTGTTCAAGTTTCGAACGGTAGTCTGCAGTGACAATTTTTTGAAAACAGAGGAAGTATCTTACTTTTTTTTTCTCAAACACGCAGGAGAGCTGCGTATCTTATATTAAAGAGAGAAGAAAATGGTCCCTTCATGGACCCTTACAAACAAACTCCACTAGAATTATCTTACTAGAAGCTACTGGAACGTCGATCATTTTCTTCCATACAGATTGGGTCAATGCTCTTGCCGGCCCTTTTGGGGAAAAAATTGGGTCAAAGTTTCTGCGCAATAAAAAAGGAAAAGAAACCTAGCTACCCAGGAGATCTCCTTTCTACCCAGGAGATCTCCTTTCTACCCAGGAGATCTCCTTACCATTTAATTCACTAAGTTCTGCAAGTAAATTATCCATGTATGACTGATTGACTGTATCAATACTATGCTTCACTATGGATGCAGAAGAAATTCTCATAACTGTTATCAATGTTTTCAAGTCGTCCAGTCGAACCTAGTCGCCATGGGACCGACTAGGACAATTAATCACGATTCATCGCGATTAATCGGACGACTTGTACAAGCCGACGGTACCCCTAATCAGTCAGCAGGGACCGATTAGGACGATTAATCGTGATTAATCGCGATTAATCGGATGACTTGAAAACATTGACTGTTATCCAAAAAAACAAAAGTAAAGGCAACTAGTAGCATACTGTTCTTACCTTTGAGGATTGCTTGTCTCTTGGCATTGTATGCAGTATGAAACAATTTTTCTTTCAGCCCACCAGACTCCTTCACGGCATTTGTAATTCTACACATCGAATAAGAAACTAGTAGTTAGCAGTATGAACAGAACGTATCACTTCAAGAATTTATACCGAACATAGAAGTTAGTGGTATAGTTTTATTACGCAGTATAAATTCTGTTATATAACCGGGGGACACTTGCGAATATTGTCGGTCTCAAAGCAGCCAGATCATCCATGAGCTTCAAATTATCCTGGAATTTAATGTAGTAAATAAAGATGAAAGAGTCATAATGGTAGATTTGTAGGTAACAAATTATGGGATGCAAGTACAGATGCATAACTTAGAAATGCCACATAAAATGTTTGCTTCATACAGACCAACAAATAAACAGGAGATAACCATGCATGGGTATAGTTAACTGGTGTTGTGTGGACACAGGATGTCCACAGCAGGAAAAGTTGATGGTGGGGGGAGGGTTACAGTGACCACCAAGGGGACATAACAACTGCTACGAGTGAATTTAAATTGATGAAATATTATATTGACGATGAAAGATCCTTCACACTGGTCTACAGCTAGTCTCTGAATTGTCCAAAGCTTTAAAAAAGGTCATCCAAACTAAGAGTAACTCAAGTGCACAATGCATATTTTGCAATAGATGATCATATTCCTACAACTACAGGCACCAACTTATAGATGAACCCTTAGTAGTTTAGTGTTAATTAATTCTCAGAATGCACATCAAAATTGTTCTGTAGTTACGTAGTTATATAGATACCATTCCAAATAAAGTTCAATCTGCATACCCCTTGGTAGAATCCAATGGCAACACCACAGTGCAGTGCTGCAATCTGGTTAACCTTCTCGTAGATGTGAGCCAAAGGTAGATATGAGATATACCTGAGGAGAGTGATCCACAAAGTTATTGTCACAAATGTTAAGAGCTGATGTGAATTGGATAAGTTGATCAAGCACAAACAATTTTATTTGAGTGTATATGCAAAATACTAACACATCGGAGGGGTAAAACTTAATGTTCAGGCTTGATCCTGCTACATTTGCAATTAAGTTCTCATGAGAAAGAACAACTCCCTGGGAAAAAATGATATCCAACATCAGAGATCTGAAATATACAACTCTACAAGTAACAGAACTTTGCTGATGAAGCAAAGAACAATCGAAGGATGGATGATTTACCTTTGGCGTGCCAGTAGTGCCACTAGTGTAACAGATAGTGGCAACATCTTCAGGTTTTGGCGGACGAAAATGTTGAGGACCGGCCTTTCCCTGAGTTTGAAGAATTGAAGGATTACAGAAAACAAGGGCGCACAATATATAGGAGCAAGTGGAAAACAGAAGGTGATGTGCCCTTCTTTATTCAAAATTAAAACACCAATGACAATGTATTAACAACTTAAACATTCAAATTCCATAAATGAAAATTTTAATATGGAAATGCATACACATTTATATATATGCAAAGTAAAGGTAATTTCCAGCTTGAGCATGCTATGTATGCCTATAACCATCAAATGCATGTATGTCTATAACCATCAAGGAGAACATTTGATCTGTAATCTCATGTGTACTTTGCATACAACTAGTAAAATGAGAACTCCCCTAAAAAAACAAGTAAAACAAAAACAACTGACCTCTATAGCCATACAAGCATGCAGATACAAAAATTTCAGGTTAATCTGAACTGGAAGATTCAGTTTGCATTCCAGATAGATCTAACTTCCACTCAACAAAGGATGGTAAAGAAATCATGGCATCCGACGTATAAAATCTAGGAACATAATACAAATAACATAAGTACATATGTGCGGCTTAGGTGTTAAATCACACCAACTTTCTAAGGGCCAAACTCTGGAAGCACATAGGCAAGGAAAAAGAACAAGAAGAAAACAGGGAACCAAAAGGACATGGGATACTTATAGTTGAGTGCATCCACAATTCTGACTTAGGCCATTCCAGATTAATGACAATGAAAATGGCTGCCATGCAGTTGTATCAAAATTTCCTTAAGTTCAGGTACATTGAGAAATAAGGGTATCCACTTCAACAAAATCATGCAGTTTATGAGAAGCAACTTATACCATGGTAGCCTTTACCCCTTTATGTAGTGTTTGAAATCATTAAAAGAGATAAATCATCATGAGCACCTGGATGAGCAGCCTGGAGTAAGTTATGATTTCCACTCCAGTAGTAACTGGCATTGATGGCATATTTGCATCATCTCCACCAACTACCTAGACAAAAAAACTAGGAAAATTAAGGAGGAAAGGTCCTTGAATAATCATGAATATTACATTGTGTTTGTCAACAGTAAGCAGCCCAGACTTACCACTATAAGCTGAACACAAGGCATTTGAGCTATAAAACTTAACAGCTGCCATCAATAGATAACCATGAGTAAGATAATAGCCGTAAGTTCAGTCTACGTCTTTTAAATGTAGAATGACATAATAATACTATAATAATGTGAAGTTGAAAGCTAAATGGCATCAATAAACCAATGTAGCTTTTCAAAATAAGAACAAAAATTTTATTCTTTAAATATCAGGCCCCAGTATCCACAAGATTAACCATATCTTTCATGTATATGGGCCTGCAAAAAGGTTGTCATGGCTGCCACTTGTCCCATACTATACGATGTTTTTTATGCTAGAGAAACCTGTTATCAGAGTAATACAAGTACAAATAAAGAATGGCCCGAATCCCTGGAGCAGTTCCAGCCTCACTAGTTATGACTAAGATGACTTCTGACATGCAGCCTCATCATAGGCTTCATTTGCAAATTTTATTTTAGGAACTAGTAATTGTCGAAGGTTGAAAGAGAGAAGTGATTAAAGCTCACAATGCTTAGAGTTTGAGGCACACAGAATATTACTTCCACCGCTGCATGGTTCACGATGAATTGAACAGCATCTGGGCCTGAAAGTACAAATGTACAATACACAAAAACTGTCACTAGACAAATCATAAATGAACAAGAGAACTATAGTATAGTCATTCTGTGTTGTGAACATACCGAGAGTGTCATAAAGTGGCACAGATACATATGAATATGCAGAACAAGCATGGTCAACTATAACCCACTCGGGTCTGTTTATAAAATACAGACCAATGCATGCACCCTGATTCCAAATAGAAATGTGTTTGACGTAAGCTCAAATATACTCGCAACATATCTGTTTTGTTAAGAACAAAAGGACAAGTGCTTGTTCAGATCATGATGACTCACTTCACGAACTCCATGATAGATAAGACCAGAACCTATTGCAGTCCTGCTCGTGCTAGCTTCTCCGTATGTCATCCATTTGTAGCTACAAACATTATTTGTCACTTGCACAAATCAGTCAATCAGTTTGGATAAAAAGGACACTGCAGGCAATAATAAGGCATTTATTAGATAGCTAATCCTTACTCTCCAATTGTCCCATCAGTTCTGATTCTTGTTCCCAGGTATTTACAGTCTGTAAAAGTCTCAACTGCATACCTGCAAAATTTGGGAAAATGTAACATTTTGCCTAAAAGATTACGACGATTTCTCACAAAATAAAAACAGAACTTTCCACAAAAGTTTTAGATGGAAAATAAAGAGATAAAAAGTCAGATTGAAGAGAGAAGGTCCCAGCCTCTTACGTGAAATTATCATGCAGCGTTCCAATGTCTGGGGTGTCGGGATATCTACTTATCAGCCTTAGAGGTGAACGCGTGGACCTGCAAGACAACAACAGGAGCCACGAGCCGTCACAGGAGCCACAGAACAACACTGTATCTCATAACACGAAGCACGTACCGGTACACGTTCCACTTGCCGGTTTGCAATTTCTCAGGGAGAACAACACTGTAGCCCTGCGCTGAAAAGGTTTCGTAGAGTGGTCAGTAACAGTAATCTGCTTCTGAGGACACTATGTTTTTTGAAACTGAAACTGTACATAGTTATCTGGGATGAGGACAATGCGAACTGCATCGTCAACCCAAACAAGCGCGGTTGAAATGGAGCAGAGATAAGGTGGCAGTGGGCACATTGAAGAGACGAACGAACAAACGAACCGTGTATGAAACAGGTAGCAGCAGTATCATATACATGTATCCTTAATTAGTACTTCAACTCTGTTTGTGGCCTTGTGGGCATGAAGGTTAGACTTTAGAGACTAGAGAGATACGATTGTTTAGTGTAGGCTAGTGGCCTTGTTCGATATGATAATATATACTAACATACAGAGCGGTTCCGAAAGCATGTGTACTTTTTGTTATTTTATTTACTGGTATAATATAAACAGTTCAATTTACATACAAAGTATATTCTCGTTCTCACTAGGATAAATGTACAGAGATGTTCACTCATAGTAGTTTGCTGCGCCTTGGCTGTCAGTCAACAGGGATGGGTATGATACTAGGAAGCATAGCATAGCAGTACATCACAGAGGAGGCGCACAACTGACACTAAACTTCCCCAGACGCCTTAATAAAGAGTTTGACTGGATCTTGACACTGACAGAGCACAGACATACGTACTAGATAGAGTAAAATGAAGCGAAAACTCCAGGTTGCAATCAGACGCAACATCTATGTATCGATCCCCTAGCTGGAGCGAGCAACCCCCAATCCATTCTCGTATTCTCCGTTGTCAATCGTTGAGACGAAAGCTGGGACGGCGCGCGGGGAACAAAACAGCAGGCGGCGGGGCGGAATGGAAGCTGACGGCAGGCACACGGGGGAAGGGAACAGGGAAGGGAGGTAGAGCGACGCACCGTGGACGTACTCGGCGGCGGTGGGGTTGACGGCGAGGCCGCCGCAGCCCCCGGCGGGCGGCGGCGGCGGGCGCTGGAGGTGGGCGGTGGCCGCGCCGACGCGGCGGCGCTGGGCGGCGTCCTCCATTGCGCGCGGTTGGTGGCTGGGCGGTGGGGATTTGGCGGCTTTGCGACAGGTGGATGGTGGATGGCGGATGGCTCTCGGTGGGGGGGCGGGCGCTGGAGTGGAGCAAGTTGATTTGACTTTGGTTGGGGGTTGCGTTGCGTGGAGGGCAACAAGGAAAGGGAGGACGGTGAGGAGCCCAGCGGCCGCAGGCGAGGCAAGCCCAAGCAGAAATGTATCTACTCTCGGATCTCCCCCCGTCTTTCTCAGTCTCACGCTGAGGCTGAGCTGACCACGCGAAGGGGAGGGGGAGACAGGGAGAGAGCTCAGCTGAAGAGGAGAGTCGATTTCTCGGTACGGATGTCTGGACCGGGACTAGTGGCGTGTTCGGGAGGGTGGCTGAGTCCGGCTTGGCCCGCCCTCCCCCAGGCCATGGCAGGCCTGTCCCAATTGGTGCAAGAGTTCTTGTTTGGCAATCTATCCGAAATGAGTCAGGTTTGGATGAAATTGTGTTTGTTTGTACAAATGCAGCCGGGCTGAGAAGCCAACTAACCCAACTACCAAAGTGAGATTATGTTTGGCTGTTGGCTTCACTTGGCCAGGCCCATAGTCAGAATGGAAAAACACAGATGCAGCAATGGAATGAGCGAGACAATGAGATCTATGATAACAGTTTGCAACGAATTAGGCATGCAATTAGTGCTGTTAACAGGCCTCAGACAAGTTTAACATGGAGTCATTGCTATTGTAATTAAACAACAGTACAAATGTAGCAAGCCAAAATAACAACATCAGCAACCTAATTACTAACCACAAGTCCTACAACAACACATACTACAAAGTTAACAGGAAAGGATGATTGAACTAAGTAAGGCAACAACAGCTCTTCCATCAGTTGTTAATCATCACAGGCCTAAGTGGGGCACTCGTAGGAGCCAGTACTGCCCCTCTTCATCGAAATCCCAAACACCAAGATCACTAGACAGGTGATTAACACCTTCTTCCACCAGACAGACTTACCATTACCATCAGAAGGAGTGATGATTGGAGCAAAAGCATCTTGAGCAACATGATCATAGGGGAGGGGAGGTGCTGGTGCATGAGATCGATGCACATCTCTCATGGCTACCTAGTAATCCCTAAGAGCCTGGTCATAGTTGTGATATTTCTTGTAAACTGCACCTCTCACCCCAAGCACATACCTACTGCACTCCTGCCAGCTCTGGTAAATCCCAGGATGCTTGCCATTGAAAACAACATACCAACCAGCCATTTCTGTGAGATCACAAAGTCTTTAGCCTCAGTCAAAATTAAAGCTTGCTGATGACCAGCATCACTTAACTTCATATGTATTGTAATTGACATCACAGGCAATGTAAATAAATGTTGGCCTCAGCTTTAGCATGTGGTGGTGATCACTGAGTGAAAATCATTGGTAGCTGCCATAGAAACTAAAAATCAGTTTTCTAGCAAATCCAAACTCATGGCTGCCATGGAATCCATTGACACATCCATACACTGCCATCAACACAACAAAGAAGTGGCTGTTGTAACACCTCTGTGTTAAGCATTGCAATTTGCACTTGCATTTCATGAGCACAAGCATCATTGATCATTCATGAGCATGAGCATCTCAAATTTTATCTCTAGGATTGCTTATATCACATGTGTGTTGTTACTAAATGCTTTACATAGCTAGGATTTACATGTGACCAATGTATAAAATATTTGTGGGACCTTAGGAGTACCTTAAACATGTTTAGAATGTCACATGGAACAACTTTGGTATTCATGACTTTGACCCATTTGGCCTCTAAGTCATGGTTATAGTGTAGGATTTCATTTTCAAGTTGTATATTTGACCTAAGTTGAACTATAGCATAGAGTGTTTGCATGGCAGTGCATCCTTTAGCAAAGTTGTAGCACTTGACTAGAGTAACAACTTTTATTTTTGGGTCAAGACCTAGTTCAGTGCATAGCATGCTAAAAAATAGCTCACAAGTACCAAGAAATGTTGTTTTGGACTTGCAAAAAAAATTATAAGTCTTAGTGTTGTTTACAGTTTCAATGTACCTCTCTTGGGAGCATTGTAACTGGCTAACTATTGAGAATTTAGGGATGCTTCTTAAAGCAAGTTTGTAAATTTCATGTAGCTCTACAACTTCTATTCAGGGATTTTTTGCTAACTCCAACTGGTTTGGGAGATAAAGGGGATCAAAGTCGCTCTGTCAGTCGGTCATCGGGGCCTGATGGCTGTGGACGCCGCGCCGTCAGTGGCCGACGGGGGGCAGGCCAGGCGCGCCGCGTGGTGGCCGTACGCCGACGCCGGCCCAGCCGATCAGGCCAACGCGGGCGCATAAACGCCGCGCACCCACCGCTCACTCCACTCACCCGCCCTCGCCTTCTCTCTCTCGCTCTACCTCTCTGCAGCGCCGCGTCGAGCACCGCCGCAGCACCACCGTAGCTCCGCCGCAACCGCTCGCCACCGACGCAGCCTTGTCGGCCGATTCATCTCGGGCACAGCTGCTACGCCATCACCTCCACCTCCTCGAGCCACCAGCACCACCTGCTGACCCAAGGTAGTGTGGCATTTCACCTCACCGCAGCCGCCACCATCACCGGAGTGCTACCGCGCTCGCGGCTCACTGTGACCCCGCCATCCCACTACATCGCATGCCTTCGTTTTCTTTGGTCCAGCACCGTGCTAGAGTCTAGCAGCTTAGGCCGGAATTAGGGATGACACCACCACGTAACGGCGTCGGAACGAGTCGCCACTCCGCGCACGCACGCCATGGCCGCCGTGGCACTCGAGCACGCCGCCGTCGAGTTGGTTCACCGTCTCCCTCCTTTCTCGCGCGCCTTAGGTCGAGTAACCCTAGACCTCGTTAGTGGCATGACGGAGACCCACCTTTTGCCGCTGTTTAGCCAGAACAGCATGAGCACTGCCGTGCTCCGTGCGCCGCCGCACGGCCATGCACGTGGCCGAGCTCACCGACGCCACCCCGAGCCCTCACCTGTGCCGTGTAGATCTGCTAGGTCACCAGGAGGGACTAGCCGTCCTCGCCTTAGTGTACCATAGCCGGAGATGGCCGGCGTACCGCCACCGACCTCCGCCGTCCGCCATGGCCGCCGTCGAGCTTGCTCCGGCAAGCCATCGGGCCAACTAGGCCTACCATTCGATGCGCGTGGTTGAGGAGAGTCCAGTGATGAAGACGCTACCACAGGAGACCTCGCTGTCGGTGAGTTCTCACCGGTCAGCGCCATCGGGCCCTAGCTGTTAGCCTATGTAATGTTGATTTTCTGATTTGTTTTTCACATATTTGAATGCATGTTTCAAATATTCATATCTCAAGCTAGGAATGTCTAATTTTGGTGAACCAAATTTTGTTAGTTTCATCTTGAAGTGTAGTATTTTATAAAAGGATTAAGTCCATTTTTTGCCCCTTAACTATTGGATTTGTCTAATTTTGACCCTCAACTACAAAACCGTCTAATGCTAGTACCCAACTGTCAAAACCGTTCACTTTTAGCACCTGGGCGAGAGTGAGGCTGTTTTGTCCGACGTGAAGCGGTTTTGTCCGAATGTAGGGCCCATGTGTCATCGACTCAACCGAACTACACCGGCGTAGTAGCAGCTAAGGTTGATGTAGGCGACCAACGCCTGCCAGCCGCCGCCGATGGCCACCCCGGAGATCAACGGTTGCATGATGTTGAGCACCATGGTCGCCACCAGCAGGTGCGCCACCTTCCCCATGGCCGCCTGCATGTCTCGGTCGCCCGTGAAGAGCACCACGAAGTTGTTGCAGTATGCCAGCACTAGCGCCATGGCCACAAGCCCCATGGCCAGTGACTGCGCCACCACCGCCGCCACCGCGTGCTTGGTGGTGCGCGGCTGGCCGGAGCCCAGCTCATTGTACATGTGCACACTGATCGCCGCATTCAGCCCAATGAACAGCATGGCCATGTGCGCCGCCTACGCGGCGGCGCCGATCCACGCCAGCGCACCGACCTCGCCCTGAACCTGTAGGAGCTTCTGTGTTAGGAACGCCAGCGGCCTGTCTTCCTCCCCATGATTCTCGTTGCCAGCGCAGCACTCCAGCCTAGGCCATACGTGCGTGGACGAAGCCCCGCTGTTGCCCACACTATGCCCTGCCACCATTGCAGGCAAATATCCTCATGGCAGAGAAGAATATCTCTGCCGCACCGCCTTACCTGGCCGCCTATAAAAAGGTCGCCGAGCTCGCCATCTTTGCGACCCACGCAGAACGGAGCTCGTGTGCACGCGGGATGACACTGTCGTCGCAGCATTACTGCTCGGGCGCTATAGCGCCGCCACCACCACGGCTCGCAGGAGCACTGAGCCTCCTCGCCTAGCTACCTCGGCCATCTCCATGCTGGAGCTCGAAGCCGTCGAGCACTTCACGCCACGCTGGCCGAAGCCACGCCGTCGGAGCTGCTTCCTGACCTCGCCGCCTATCGGGGACCTAGTACTAGGGTACCCAAAGAGGAGGAGCTAATAACCATCAAACGTTGATGCTTCCGAACAAACAAGAACGCAACTACACTTCTTGCCCAATGACCGAAGGTTGGCTCCGCCTCGCCCGATCTCTGAGGGCTGGCTCCGCCTCGCCCAACCCCCGAGGGCTGGACTCCGCCTCGCCCGACGTCTGGGGGCAGACTCTGCCTCGCCCGACATCCGAGGGCTGGCTCTGCCTTGCTTGACCTCCGAGGGCTGGACTCCGTCTCGCCCGATGTCTGGGGGCAGACTCCGCCTCGCCCGATGACCGAGGGCTGGCTTTGCCTCGCTCGACGTCCGAGGGCTGGCTCCGCCTCGCTCAACATCCAGGGGTAGGCTCCGCCTTGCTCGACGACTAAGGGCTGGCTCCGCCTCGCCCGATGTCTGGGGGCAGGCTCCGCCTCGCCCGACGTCCGGGGGCGGGCTCCGGCCCACCCGATGTCTGGAGGTAGGCTCTGCCTTGCCCGATGTCTGGAGGCTGGCTCCGCCTCACACGATGTCTGGGGGCAGACTCTGCCTTGCCTCGCCCGACGTCTGAGGGTAGACTCTGCCTCGCCATAACTACGCGCACAGATAAAGCGGGACACTCAAGTCAACCACAATACCGAGGACCATACCCTGCACGCCTGTAGCAAAGTACCATCAGGATATGACCAGACGGGCGCTTTAAGCCCTTCCAGGCATGTCAGAGCCCAAACAGTGTTGTGGGCACCAACATTTATCCTACAGTGTTATGGGCGTCGGCATTTGCCCTCGGACACAAATCCTGATGAAAACATACGACAACCACTACGGTCCAGAAGGAAACTAATGTCATCTACAGTACGAACGTGGGGCCTCTATGATGTCTGCTCCCCATAGGGTCACGGCTCAGCACCCTAGTGCATCGCACCACCCGTTGGGGTGGGACGGGACGTGGCCACTTGCTAAACGAAGCCAGAGTAAGGCCCTATCAGGATCAGTGAACGTGCTATCCCTGGCATCGTCTACCTTATCAGCGGGACTCGCTCAGAGGACAAAGGAGACCCGACATCTTTGAAGGACCTCCTTGGCCTCTGGTTCTTCTTCTTTATCCCATTTTTTATAACCCCTGCTCCCCCTTGATCTATAAAAGGGAAGGCAGGGTGCCCCACTAAGGAGGGGGATCGATTCAATAGACCACGCACCACATAACACACAGCTAAGCAGCAACCGAGCTCTCAGCGCCCTTTCAACCTTTCCATCAGAGACTTGGGACCTGTCCCTCTCTCGACCGTTTGTACCCACTACTATGAACCTTTTAGCGCAAATAACATGAGCATCAGCAGCAAACTAGATGTAGGGACATTCTGCCCGAACCAGTATAAACCTTGTGTCTTTTAGCACACCATCTAGGCCCAATGCGCAACAAATACAAATTTACTAGTTGGTGTTTACTCGAAACACGGACAGTTGGCGCGCTAGGTAGGGGACCTTTGCATGTTTTGATGTTAACATCAGGCCACGGATGGCTAGCCACAGCATCAGCTGGGTCCCGGGCGCACACGTGCGCTTCGAGGACCTAGACTTCATCATCACGGTGGGAGGAGAGTTGGCGTTGGCTCACGCCGCCATCCAACCTCTCCCCTCCATCGGCCTCAACCAGGAGAGGCTTGAGCTCCAGCTCGGTGTCTCCTTGGGACCCAGCTGTCTAGGGAGGACCGGTGCCGCCTCACCTTTTCTAACGCCAATGACACCGCGTGGCTCGTCGGAGGGGAACCCTTCTCTCTGGGACACCCCATACGGAGCACCCCAGCGGTGCTTCCATTCGGTCTCTACAACACTGCGGCGACCGTTAGCCACCTTGTCGCACAACGCATGGTCTCACCTCCTGTGGACAATGAGTTCGTAGGGGTGATCGAACATGTCACGGAATCTCTCCACAACCTCCTCGTAGAGGAGCTAGGGTCGTCCTCTGGCTCTAACTCTAGTAGGGGGAGCCATCACTTCTCCCGGGAATACTTCATGATGGGTACCCCCGAGGGACACATCGAATGCGTCTCCAAGGAGGAGGCTACCCCGGCGGACAACCCCAGCGATGAGGTCGAAGGAGAGACAGCGGCCACACCTCGCATGGGGGTGGAGCAGCTAAAAGCCCGACATCAAGAGATAGAGGAAGCGTGACTCCAGCTTGAGCAGGAATGCGCGGAGCTTGATCGGGAGATCAAACGCCGCGGAGACGGTGGGCGCGCACGCGCCATGGCCCGTGATGTAAACCAGAGGATCATCGCCAACGATGAAGCCCTTCCTCACTTTGCTTGGGCAAGCCAAAACATTGTCGTTGCAGCCGCCGTGCTCCACAGTCTTCCAAAAGCCACGACGCCTGAGGATCATCAGGCCCACCATGAAATTCGCATGCTGCTCGAGCATGCGGCGACGCAGCAGGTAGAGAGCTCATTGTCTCGGCGACGCGAGCTCGATGCCAGCCAACGCATGCTCTCTAGGCGTCCTGGCAGGGATGCGTCGGTCCACCAGGCACCACATGGCGGTAGGCAGCGCGCCGTGGTCCTAGTGCATCAGTGTCTCGGCCATAACTGCGACGCACGTAGCACTCTCAATGCTCGTAGGTGTACCCATGACGATCCAAGAGAGGTAGCTAGCCATGGCTATCATCCTCGTTGCGGTAGACACTATGACAGTGGCGAGGACCAGAGTCCGAGCCCCGGTCTACCAGGCCCTTAGGCCTTCGCCCAGCACATGCTCAACGCTGCCTTCCCACCAAGGTACCGGTCACTAACCAACATCCTAAAGTACCCTGGGGAAACAAACCTCGAACTATGACTTGAAGTCTATCGACTTGCCTGCCAAGCCGGTGGCGCGGATAATGATGACTTCATTATCCGCAACCTTCCACTATTCTTGGCCGATTCAGCACGAGCGTGGTTGGAACACCTGCTGTCCAACAGAATTTAGAGTTGGGCGGACCTGAAGGAGATCTTTGTGGGGAATTTCTAGGGCACATACAAGTGCCCTAGGAACCCATGGGACTTCAAAAGCTGCCGACAGAAGGCTGGTGAAACCCTCCGTGGGTACATCCGGCGCTTCTCCCGACAATGCAATGAGCTACCTAATGTCACCGACACCGACGTTATAGGGGCTTTCCTGTTCGGGACTACCTGCGAGTCTTTGGTTCATAAGCTAGGACGCAAGGGCCCGTGAACCACCAAGAAACTCCTGGACATCGCCACCAGCCACGCCTCAGGAGAAGAAGCGGTCGGAGTGATCTTCGATCATCTCGATGGCAAGGCAAGGCAGGACAAGGGCATCGGCGAAGGCGCCTCCAATCGTTCTACCAAAAGGAAGAACAAGAAGCAATGGCATGAGGACTCGCTCGTGGTTGCTGCTGACCGCAAGGGTGGTCGGAAGCCCGCGGAGGGCACTCCGAACCATTTTGAAAATTTACTCGAGGGGCCATGCCCAAACCATGCTTTCCCGGGTAAGCATCTATACAAGGACTACAGCCTCATGCGGCGGTTCTTGTCCGGAGGCTCCAACAAAGGGGAGCATGGAAAGGACCCTACCCCCACCGTGGATGACGCCGAGGAGAAGGCACGCTCATAGATCCCGACAGCACCGGCGGAGGGCTCCAAAGAGGTCCTCATAGATCCCGACAGCATCGAGGGAAAAACGGTGCATGTTGGTACCACGCTTTCCTCCGAATAGGAAGGTGCGCTCGTCGGCTTCCTCCGCGCTAACAGAGACATCTTTGCATGGAAACCCTCAGACATGATAGGCATTCCGAGGGAAGTCACCAAGCATACCTTGAAGACCCACCTAGGCTCTAAGCTGGTGAAGCAATGCCTACGTCGCTTCGACGAGGAGAAACGTAGAGCCATCGGCGAGGAGATTGCAAAACTTTCGGTGGCCAGATTTATCAAGGAAGTATACCACCCAGAGTGGTTAGCCAATCCTATTCTTGTATGAAAGAAGAGTGGGAAATGGAGGATGTGTGTCGACTATATGGGTCTCAACAAAGCGTGCCCAAAGGATCTGTTTCCTTTGCCATACATAGACCAAATAGTTAACTCTACCTTGGGGTGTGAAACCCTCTGCTTCCTTGATGCGTACTCCAGGTACCATCAAATCATGATGAAAGAGTCCGACCAGCTCGCGACGTCTTTCATCACCCCCTTTATATCGTTCTGCTATGTCTCAATGCCGTTCGGTCTGAAGAACGCTAGGGCTACATACCAGTGTTGTATGTTCAAGTGTTTTAGGGACCTCATCGGGTGGACTGTTGAGGCCTACATTGACGACATCATGGTCAAGTCCAAGCAGGCTGACCACCTCATTGTCGATCTTGAGCAAACGGCATCAAACTCAATCCTGAGAAGTGTGTTTTTGGGGTCCCGAGGGGCATGCTGCTCGGCTTCATCGTCTCCGAGCGTGGCATCGAAGCCAACCTAGAGAAAATCTTAGCCATCACAAGG